TTTCCCCTTGGGCTAGTTATTATTTATAGGCCTAGTAAATAGTATCTGTAGATTCTTCATTGCAAGCCTTAGGCCAAGGTAATTAATGCTGAAATTATTATTATTATTATTAATTATTATTATTACCTGTACCTTAAGGGGAACTTATAAGACAATGGAGGAATTAGAGAACAATTAAAAAAACGACGTTTAAGGGGAAATAACACAAAAGATATTCCCCTTGGGCGATTATTATTTATAGGCCTAGTAAATAGTACGGTATCTGTAGGTTCTTAATTACAAGGCTTAGGCCAAGGTAATTAATGCTCAAATGATGATGATTATTACTATTATTATTATTACTATTATTATTATTATTGTCATCATTATTATTATATTATTATTATTTAACATTAATTACATTACAATGATAGTTTGGACAAGTTCAATAACGCCGGAATGGTATATTATTTATTTAATAATATTTCTCTTATGCGCTCTATTTTTTATTTCATGCTTCAATTTTGTCCTATTTTTTCCCCCAAAAATTTCAGTCAATGTCAGTATTTTGGTGTCAGCCTATGACCCTAGGCCTAGTTTAAGGAGAGGCCTAGGTAAGATCTCAGCCTTTTAGGCCTCTTTCTCTCTAGCCTTTGGTATTACTGTACCTATCTACACTTTATAACAGGAGGTACTAGCTGTTGTTGTTGTAGATAATATACTAATTAGTAACATCCAAGAAGGTCACAGTTAGTTACACACGTACATTTCATAGGCCTACCGTAGGTAAACATAGAAAGAGCAATACAGTAATAGTAAAACTCGAGCGTCACGACATTGCGAAGTGTCTGATCTTGTTCCTCGTGTCGTACTCTCGAGTCCATCCGAGATGGCCCGAGTGAAATTTCATGCAAATGTTTCGTACGGGAAAAAAAATCGCCTCCGGGTCGGGTCTGGATCACATGGTCTGGATTGTGTTGAAAAATTTACATGTCGCGATCGGTATATGCAAGCAAAGAGTATAAATAGAACTTCTAGAAGTTCTATTTATACTCTTTGATGCAAGCTAATGGCGATGAGTTAGGAAAGGAAGATTAAAAACAGATTTCACTCAACTCTCAAATAAAAACACTTGCAACATGACTTTTGTTTTAACATTTATTCATACTTCTGGCAGGTAGGTGATTTAGTAGTACTGTACTAGGCCTAATACTAATGTGGTAGCGCCTACGTACGCCTACGCGTAGATGTACGTAGTAGTAGGGCTAGGCTGATAAAAAGTATCGCTTCATTACCACGCGTAGCGATGGCTTCGTAGCCTCTTGGGCTACGCAAATGCTACGCAATTGCTACGAAGTATCTACGCATTTTGTACGCGTAGCTTCGCGTGGTACGAAGGCAGTAATTTTTATCTGTACTGTACACTAACTGCAAGTCAAAAAAGGTTATATATCTGCATTCAGGATATGATGGACGATCATCGTAGTTTTACTCATGTTTTAGCAGGAGCTGTCATCATGTAACAACTGCTATAACATGAGTGTACAGTAGTAAAGATCTATATGTTGGAATGTACTAATGGTCTGCCAAATATCACAAAAAACAAAAAAAAAACAAAAACAAAAAAAAAAACTATAAAATAAAAATCTGATAATTTTTTTTCCAGAAAATATAAGAACCATGAAAAATGAACCAAAGATAACCATGACAAATGAAGAAACAATATTCCTAAGGAGTTACATCATTTCATTGCTGTGCATGAGAAATGCATGCAGATCAGGTGTCATCACTAATATGACCTTGCAAGAGTTTAAAATAGCTGAACACATGGAAGGCAAATGGTGTGTGACAGTAAGTAACAAAACATGAAGGATATCAATATATTCCCCCACATCAGGCGCGACTTAAAAATAGTCAATTATGTAAAAAACCAGTGATGTGTGGACAATCCGTAACACAGTATTACTGAAATAAAAGCTACTGGTATGAATGAATGAATGCAATTTCACATTTTTTATGAACATTTAAAAACCATGTAACAACAGCTATAACAAATCCATGGGTGTACAGTAATAAAGACCCATATGTTGGAATGTACTAATGCTCTTAAATGACAAATATCACATAAAAAAAAAATCTTTTTTTTTTCCAGAAAAGATAAGAACCATCACAAATGAACCGTTAAAAAAGATAGGAACCATCACAAATGAAGAAACTGTCTTTTTTAGAAGTTACATAAATGCATGCAGATCCGGTGTGATTACGAATATGACTCTGCAGGAGTTCAAAATGGCCGAAAACGTTCAAGTTAAATGGTGTGTGACAGTAACAAAACATGAAGGATATCAATATATTCTCACGTATCGGACGAGACATAAAATTGTAAATTACGGAAAAAAAACCAGGAATTCATCTTATGTGCAGACAATCCGCAACACAGTATTACTGAAAAAAAAGCTGCTGGTATGAATGAATGCAATTTTACATTTTTTATGAACATTTAAAAGCCCTGATCGCCTTACATATGAGGTTATACAGTAGTTGGTGCAGTGTTCTCCCCTGGCCCATAAAGCGTCATGATACCTTGACGCTTGTGACTTACCCCTGTGATGGTTCCAAGGTGGCCATGATGCTTGGTATGTATACCGTGACTATTTACAATGTCAGTCAATAAACAATGCTGTTCATAGTATGCATATTTCCATTATAACTCCCTGGTATTTCCTAGTTAGCCTTGGTTTGAACAAGAGTGAGTGAAAATAATTTTAAATGACAGCCACTTTATAGCAATTAGACACTAGATCCGCCCCTGAATGCAATTCTTTAAGTAATATTTTGATTTTTTTTTTCAATATTATTAAGATAATGTTGCTTAGGAGATAAAACACATTAATTAAAATAAAATTTACACAAAACTACAATAAATCAACTGTAAAGGACTAAAGTAAAATTAACTTGAAATATGCTTTCAAAGCACATAAAAATGTTCAACTATTCTTACATATCTTTTTTTAAAAAATCAAAATTAAATGGTTTTACATATTTCATATACTACCACAATACAAAAAAATGATGAAACAAGTTATTTAAAAAAAATTAGATTGCAAACCATAAAACAGCCGTTCAGGGCCCAGCAATTCTAATACTGGAGGATGACTTACATAACTTGATGGGAATGTTCATGTCCATTGTGCACAAGGAACCGGTAATTGGCCAGGACATCAGGCCCTGCCAGGATATGACAAGGTTATGGCATCACCTGGGAGTAAGGTGTAATAAAACTGTAAATTGCACGCACTTCCGAAAGCAAGTTGCAACCATGATAAGACTTATTTATTTAATTTGTGTAATTTTACAAGATCTTTCATTTGGATTAAAAACATAATAAATGAGCTCTATTTATAATGTGACCATCCTCTTTTTAAAGTTGACTTTTGATGCTATTTTAAGTCAGGTAAATCCTTTTTTCTTTTTCCATAATTTGGTTTCTTTATCTATAAATCACACATTGAAGCTGCTTTTACATAAAAGCGAAGAAAATACTTAACCAAATCAAAGAATATGTAAGTACTGTTTGCAATGTATTCTACTTCTTATTAATAATATTAATAATAATAATAATAATAATAATGATAATAATGTTGGAAGGCAAAACACTATGGCAAAATTTTATATGTAGAATACATTGTCTGATTATCCACTACTAAATTTACTGATATTTACTGATATGGACTTAGGCCTTGTGAAAACCTTGTTTGAAGGCCTAATGAAGGAGACGATAACAAAGGCCAAGGTTAATACAATGCAATTTAAAGATGCTCTTCAAAACAATAACAGAAATATTTGGTTTTGCAATGACCTAGTGTATACTATTAGGCTGCCTAACATTCAAAGTGTTATTGAGTCCTACGTCCAGGGCCACTGAGAGGGGGAAAGGGGAAAGATCCCTGGGGCGCAAGCTCACCAGGGGCCATATAAATTGCAGGTAGCATTACTTTTTAAAAATTTTTTTCCAAAAAAAAAAATTACTATCAAGGCCCTCAATAATGACATGGGCCCCCTAATAATGGGCCCCTCCAGATTGACAGGGACACCACGAAAAAATTTGTTCGCGCCTCCAGCGCTATCTATCTTTAGCTTCACGCTCGTGACTGGGGGCTCATGCCAACCTTTGCCCCTATTACAGTTTCTCCTCTTGGTGGCCCTGCCTATGTCACTGCAAACCAAAAGCTCCCTAATATTAAAGAGATAAAATATTAAAGTATAAAGATTGTGTAATTGTTAAAAACGGTTATAGTGGGAGTGACTGGCACTACAGTGTTAGGGTTTATGTTTTGGGAATTTGAGGTTTTGAAATCCATACTGATACTTTGAATACCACTGTGCTAATTTATTCAATGCAACAGTAATAAACTTTGTGAAATGTCCAAAGGGAGCCCAATTAAACATTGCGTCAAGTAAATTCACAATGCTCTTGATCTGTGAAAACTCACTAGGTTTTGGTTTTGTTAATGCAAGCAAAGAATGCAATATTTTTATACATATTTTCTGTCTGTTTCTGTTTATATGTGTTAACATCAAGACAAAATAAATAGTTTAGTAAAGGGTGGGGTATGCGGGTCATTATGACCCGCATACCCCACCATGTATCACAAACATAAGCTAATTTTATAAATACAGGTACAAGTACATTTTGTGATAAATTACAATTGGTAATTATAGTATTTACGGAATGTTATGTTACATCACAGGGAATGTTGAAACCTCAGAAAAGGACAATATTTGAGAAAAAGTTCAGAAAAATAATTATTTCTGAGGATAAGCTCAGAAATGAAATACAATTTTCTATTCATCATTCTGTCAAAAAGCTCAGGTTTTTGCTGTTTAGGGAATTTGCTAACCACTCTATAATAGTCTTTTAAACGCCTGTAATTGCTTCAACACCCAGAGGACATGTTTCATTAGTAAGGATACTTTTTTCTGAGGTTTAGTTAAGATATTTCTAAGTTTTTGTTCAGAAAAAAAGCTAAGAAAATTTATATTATTATTTTATATTATTTATATAGAGAATTCCATATCTGTTCTACCACTATATTTATAATAATTCAGTACAGTACATGTATATGTATTTGTGTACATTTTATAGTTCATTTGTTGATATACCGCCTTTCTGTAAGGTTTGTGATTTCTTCCTGAATTTATTTATATTTATTTATTTTAAACATACCCCTTGAGCATAAAATAGAGATTCACCCATAAACGCCCTGTGTGTAATTGGCTATGTAGCACAGGGTTGAGGCATGCACTGTAATTTATATTGTTGTAAAAACCATAATTGAAATACCTGTTTTCCAGAAAGATTTTGTTGAAAAACGGTCGCCCATCTTGAAATTCAAAATGGCCGCTATCTATGGTCTATGACAATATTAAAATCAAATAGGTTGACATTTAAACCATAGGGTTAGCACTTGAAATTTTGTCAATATCTGCTTTAATAGTAGAGTTATAGTCATTTTTATTGTTAAAATGGCAGCCATTTTGAAATTCCAATATGGCGGCCAAGACGTTATCGAAAAATATGGACCCTTGCATTTTTGGATTCAGCATACCCAAAATATCCAGAAAATGCAATAAAATTGCTTTGGGCAAGCGTACAGTATCTCGCGAAATGACACTAGGAACCACACTAAGAGGAGGGAAGAGATTAATTCTTTTTTATTCAGGGTAAAAAAAATCCACAGGAAAAAAAAGTGGAACATTTTGATAAATGCTTTGCTAATTTTTAATTTAGTATTTGAAAATTAATTACAAACAGATTTCATAAATATATTGGTCCAAATAATAAATACAAGTTCTTACTTTATCAGGTTCAGGTGTAAAGACTAACCTAACACTTTAAATTATATAACTATAGCATTACCAGTCATTAAATAGTGCGATTGATTTTGGTGAATTGTGATATGTATCAGATATAGCACTGTATATAACAAAAATCATAATCATAACAAAAAGCAATGTATGAAAATATTTGAGTTTATCTATTACAGTTGAACAAGCGCCTTGAGACGGTTTAAGCGCCAAGAGCAAGCATTATGTTGCCTGTTGAAGGTATGATTTTAAACCCTTAAACATTATCCATGATAAGTGGTATGGTCATCACTTTTCTTTCTTTTTTTTAATTTATAGAAAACTGGTGAAGAATACAAAAACACAAGAACAAGCATTAAGTTGCCTATTGAAGGTATGATTTTAAACCTAAAACATTATCCATGATTAAATTTTCAAAAAATAAAAAATTGATAAGTGGTATGGTCATCACTTTTCTTTCTTTTTTTAATTTATAGAAAACTGGTGAAGAATACAAAAACACAAGAACAAGCATTAAGTTGCCTATTGAAGGTATGATTTTAAACCCTAAAACATTATCCATGATTACATTTTCAAAAAATAAAAAATTGATAAGTGGTGAGGTCATCACTTTTCTTGTACTTAATTTTCCTCTCCCTGACTGACCACTATATAGATATAATGTCTGCAATTTTTTATGTCTTGATTGAAAAAAGCTCAAATTGAGGCCAAGCTGAACACACACAGCAAACCTAACAAATTTCTCTGGGTGCAGCTGGATACATGAATGAAGGCTAGACCATCCTAGACATAATGTTTACCCTAACCTAAGCCCAGCCAGCCGGACCCATCCCAGCCTACCATAGCTTAGCCTAGCCTAGCCATAAGCTCATTCATTACAGCAGAATTGGGTGAGCAATCCGATTTGCAAAAAAAAAAAAAAAGGGCGTCCAAAAAAAGGGATGGTTATTTGCGTTCACCAAAGAATAAGCATTTAAGCCAGGCTATAAGGGACTACAAGGTGTTTTAGACCTCTGTCTGGCTGCAGACCAACATTTCACCCACCACAAGGTTTTATAATGAGAAAGTCGCCACTTGGTTGGGTGGTGTTTTTGGTGCGAATACACAAAAAAAAAAAAGGTTTTGTCTTAAACATGGTTTTTTCCAATTTTCGAAGGGGTTTTTTGGCAAAAGCACTCAAGTTCGTACTGTATGTTGGTTGTAATATGTTGTTTTTGTTGTATGTTGTTTTTTTTTAAATTTCTTTATTCATTTCATTGCTTCAATGAAAAAAAATGAGTTTTTGTTAGAGATCCGCAGGGAACTCATAAATACACAGGAGGGAAGTAAGCAGAAGGATGACTATCAAAGTTGCAAAGGAAGTTTTCTGTTCTTATAACAGAAAACATAATGGAAAGGAACTGTGGTGAGCATAAATGTTTTGATACTGTGTATTACAGCTAATAATATCACATCATCTTTGTTTTTTTTTTTCATATATGTATAATACCTTTAAAATAATAAATTTTGTTTCCTTGTCATAAATAAAATGTGTTTAATGGCTGTTCGGTAGTTGGAGTTTTTGCTTCAAAAGCCTATAACAAAAATGAGTTTTTGTTAGAGAACCACAGGGAACTCATAAATACACAGGAGGGAAGTAAAGCAGAAGGATGACTATCAAAGTTGCAAAGGAAGTTTTCTGTTCTTATAACAGAAAACATAATGGAAAGGAACTGTGGTGAGCATAAATGTTTGATACTGTGTATTACAGCTAATAATATCACATCATCTTTGTTTTTTTTTTCTTCATATGTATAATACCTTTAAAATAATAAATTTTGTTTCCTTGTCATAAATAAAATGTGTTTAATGGCTGTTCGGTCGTTTGAACAAGATCACACACACACTTAACACATTTCCATACATTATTCACATATATTTTTCAAGCGCCTTGAGACAGTTTCGATCGTGGAAGGCACTATATAAATATAAAACCATAACCATAACCATATCTTTAGTATTGATGCAACAGATGGCCAAGGTCTTGGAAGAATGGTCAATGACATACAGGCAAAGGACCAAAATTGTAAAATGAAGATGGTCATCATTGTTTGCCACAAAAGATATTTACATATTAAAATGAAGAATTAAAGTACGACTATGACGTACCAGACCTGCCTTGGCGAAAAATCGTGAGTTTACTTTTTCTTCTAAATCAAATTAACGTTCATCAGCACTCAATTAGGTGGTATCACATTTACATTTACATTTGTTCTGGGTGCAAACATGTATTGATAAACTCTTCAAAACCAGTGTAAATGCTGTCCAAATCACTTTGTATTGTTAATAATGAAGTACGGTATACTGAAATTTACAATTTTTTTACAAATTTAACTTTTTACCCAAAAATAGATTATTTTTTACTTGTTTTTTGTTGTCCATGAGTGGATTTCCCATACAATTAAAAATCATAACGGTACTGGGTTTGGTCTGCAGGAGTTCATGCTTCGAACAGGTCATTCCATTCATAGAAGAAGCCTTTTGATGGAAAAAGTGTACCTTTTTAGCATGCTTTTTTTCACTGATCAGGTCACCCAGAGTAAAGAAGAAATAAATTAGTCTGGAGCACATTTATGCAGGGCTTGCACACTGAAATTTGCAATTTTCACACAATTATTGTAATGGTAGGGGAGTTAGGGGATTAAAGGGACTTACACACATGCCACCTGGAGAACCTGCCTTGAGGGCTGAAGAGGATTTATGGCTCTGGAGCAGTAGAGGGCCCGTAAAAGGTACATGGCGCATGGCCCATTGGCGTATGGAACACACCCTAGCTCTGTACCAAACTCTATCCCATCTATGGGCAAATAGACTGCACTCCCAAGTTAAAACCTGTTATTAGGCAGCAGGATGAGGCTTACATCACTCCAGCATACTCTATCATACCCTACAGAAGAAAAATTGGTGGAAGATGTAGCTGGTAGGCGGATGAATTCACTGGCAATCAATGGCTAGCAACTAGATCGAGTCTAGTGGATCAATCACTGTGGTGCATACCATTGCGCTGTGTCAAGCAGCTAGCAGGAGAGCGGATTGAGCTCTGATTTATATGTGTTAATTCCACATTTTTAAGTTTTTGCTTCAACAGTTTGTTTTGCCTGGCTTTTCTCGAGAATTGAGAATTCTATTTCACAGTTCTTTCACGCTTATTGACGGTTTTTAGGCCTTTTGTCAACATTTTGATCTGTTGCTCTTAGTGTTAGTCCTTTGTTGTTTTAGAACAATAGCACCACAGCAGCAAAGGCAGCCTCATGACCACCTGCAGTCTGTTGAATTCCCCATGGCCATTGGGCCTAGGGTTTAGATCAGTTGCTCACAGTTACAGTAGAACTGAGTTATTTAGTCTAAATAGGCCTTACCTTCTTAGATCATGTTTTTCAATGGATCAAGGAACTAAATATTGCTAAAATTAGACGGGGTTCTAGGGCAGGTAGGCATGTTAAGCATTGCAGTGCCAGCCGAGTCACGCGTGGTGTGGAGGATAACAAGGTAGACATCATGGATATCACTGAAACTTGGTTGACGGGAAGCAACACTGATGGGCGTGTCCTCAGTGACTTCAAGAGATTACCAAACTTTGATTTCTTGCATCGAAACCGCAGTCATCGAGGTGGTGGCGTTGGTGTCCTGTTAAGTCCACATTTGGAGTCAAGGTAAATGATCCAACTAACTTCAAACCTTTTGAATATCAGGACCTAAGTATCTCAACAACATCTACCATTAGGCTCATCAATATTTATAGGCCTCCCCCATCCAGGAAAAATAAACTTACTGTTCCAGTGCTACTGAGCGACTTTGCATCCCTCATGGAAACCGTAATTTCTTCTACCATGAAGACTACAATCGTTTTAGAGATCTGTTAACGTCTTTCAACCTCTTCCAGATGGTATGTGGTCCCACCCACAACCACACACTTGATCTTATTCTGACCTTGAGCCATGACAACGTACAGTACTTCAAAGTAAACCTACCATTCAGTGGGATCTGCCATCAGATCACGCATCAATTGTCTCTTCAATATTGATACAAAGACCGACTTTACCTACCGAGATGCTTTCTCAACGAAGACTGCACAGCATTGATCCCAAGGATTTTGCTGATGATCTGCAGAAATTGGCTGCCTTTGAAGAAATTTCACAAATGATTGATATTAATGATTATTATTATCATTGAGAAAGAATTCCCATCGCTAATGAACGATATAGGCCAGGTGTTGAGCAATGGCGGGTTTGAGATAAAGGAGTGGATTTAAAATTGTAATACAAGGGGAGAATCAATACCAATGTTACCCGAGACTGACAGAAGGTGTTAGGAGTCGTTCAACCTCTGGATGGCCAGAAGTGACATTCTCAGACTGTGACAGGCATGCAGGGTCGGATTTAGGGGTGCTAGCCCGGCCCCGGCCCCCCCTTTTGGGAGGTAAAAAAAGAAGGAAAAAAAAGAAAAAAAGAAAGAAAAAGAAAAAAATGATAGCCCACAACGCCTCAAATCTCTGGATCCGCCCCTGGCATGTGTTGGCTTGGCAGGTCATTGCAAAAAAAACAACAAAAAAAAAAAACTGAATTTTTTATGGAGAACTTTTAATATAATATGGAAAGCATATTCAGTTAACAATATACTCTCAAAAAGTACACTCTGAATGCGTAATGAAATCCATGAAGAAGCCTTTTCTGATTTGCAGCTTGTGGCCCTTGGCATAGCATAGTGCAGCGACCAAAATGTATATGGTAAGGATTTAAATATTGACCAACATGCTTGGCCTCCTATACCAAGTCAGGAATAAATCACCCCTAGGATAAGCTAGGTGAGATTCATGCTAGGTAGGTATAGTGAGGAACCATATGTCAACAAAATGGCTTCCGTGAAACCCACCTCGTAGGTGCATCCCCTTATATTACCCTTTTAAGCACATAAATGCTATTACTGTACATAACAAAGCAATAGGCCCTTGTGTCATCAATGTCACAATATAACATAGCCTATTATAGAACAATACATAATGGGGAATAATTTGAGGGAGGGAGTGAACAATACCTATGGGGAATAATTTGAGGGAGGGGGTGGATCAACTGGCCTGTTATTGTATGTAATGTGGTTGAGGCCCCCGTGCAGCCGATTCAGGCTTCACGGAAGCCATTTAACATAATGGTTCCCCATTATACCTATTGTACCTGTAGTACTAGCTAACTAGCATGAATCCCACCTAGCCTATCCTAGCCATGGTTATCCTAGCCTAGGCCTGGTATACTGTAGGTGGCCAAGCTCAATAGAGAAACATGGTTTTGTCATTAACAAATCATGTTTTGTACAAACAAACATGGTTTTGTCTTTACAAAACATATTTTGCAAAAACATGGTTTTGTCATTTGCAAAACATGGTTTTGTAAAAGACAAAACATGTTTTGTAGAGACAAACATGGTTTTGTCTAGATAAACTAAGAGATATACAAGGTATTACATGTAACCAATTTATTTTATTTATTAATTTTTTTTAAATTTTAACAAAGTTGATGAACTACAACAGGACAAAACTCCAAGTACAGTGAGACACTACTTAACAAGCGCTCAGTTTGAAGTACGCAACGTTTGAGTTGGACATATCGTCTTCTGAGCTCATTAGAGCTCAGAATATTATACGACTGCTGGGAAAGCAGCTGGTCAAGGATACATAGACAAAGAAAGAAGCAAAAAATAAATGGTAAGAGTTGACATACAATTCATTTATTTATTTTGATTACATAGTCTGTAACCCTTTGGGTACTTGTTAAGATACACAAACCAATGCTCTCTTTTTTTTTTACTTTACTAGAATCTCAGAGCGACTTCAAGCAGTCCCTACTTTCAAGCAGGAAACACAAACGGCGTCAAGCCATGCAAACCATTTCCGAGTTTAATACAATCTATGGAGGAAAGGAAGAAAATATCTTTAATGCAAAATATCTAAGGCAGTAAGTTTTTAAAAATTTAATTATTATTATCTATACCCACATTCTTTTACATAAAGCAACCTTTAATTTTTTTTTTTTATCAAATCTTATATAATATAAAAAGTTTGAGACAGTATAGTATAGTATGCTACAATGAAGTTTGGCTTAGCTGCAAGGCCCTCAGCCAATCACAAACTACCTTCTATGCCGTTTGTCCAATGTAAATAGTAAACAACACACTCCACTTGCAAGTATGGCGTTGGCCAGAAGTTCTTCAAATGATAAATCTAAGCCAGTTTCAGGCATATTTTTGTGATACATGTTGTAAGAACCTAGAGTATGGTTGTGTCATTAAGCGTAAACAGCTTAAAAGAAATTTAAGGATGTGCAACTCTGTGGAAAACAACAAATACGAGTCCTCAGTAAGGCCTATTAAGTTTCCGTCGAAGCTGATGAATAGTCTACATATATAATGAAGGGGATCTCAGGGATGGTGGTGCAAGTAGTAGTAGTCAAAATTGCACCGAATCTGTTTAAAAGTACGTGTGTGGTTACATATAACGTTAAAAATGGTATGGTATGTTTTACTTAATTGAGAAGCACTAATTAAGCGTCTCTCTATCACACCACACACACAAACAGGGAGCCCTGCCTTTTCCTCAAACTGGAATTGTAATAAGCATATTCGAGACAATAATGTTGGCAATGAATCGACCCAGCATAAACAACTGACCATGAAGACAAATCAAGAATAGCCATCCACAATTACAGTATATAGCAACTATTTACTACTGTCTACCAAGAACAATTACTACACAAATTGAATCAATTCAGTTTTTTGGGGTGGGGGATGTGCCCTTCAGTGAATGTGCTTAGACTAAGTAATTCAGGCTTAATTTGATTTTGATTTGATAGAAACATGAATCAATTGAAAGTACTGTAGTCCTATCAGATTGGAAATGTATACTGTTTGTATGAATGTTATCTATTTGATATGACATCATACCATACACTGTATTGAGAAATATTACCAGATATTATTAAGGTTTTTCCTTGTATGAACATTTATCAACAACACATTTATTTTCTTTATAAAAATTTGGATTGACTTTTTGAATTGCATTGTATTGTACTTTACAATGCAATATGAAAAGAAGAAAATAACAGAACAGTACTTGCTGATAAATGATAATGAATACAGCAAAACTTTCATTATTTCTAGTTTCTTTTAAATTGTTTATGCTGGATGGCTACATTGATAATATTATATAATTGTAATATTTAACACATGTTTATAAGTGGATTGGATTGAACTCTATATTCAGCTATGTTTAAAGCAGTTCTGTGTAGGTATATGATGTGCTACAGTGTTTCAATAATATTCATATAAAAGTTCAGATTTTTGTCATAAACTTCTTTCAACCTTGTGCTTACTGTTGTGTAGTTAAATGTATGCAACTGGCTGAACTGGGGTATATTAAAAATTTATTTGTTTCTCCTTATTGGAATCATCAATTGCTTTACTTTTATTCATTAATTCAGCCCATATTCCCAAGGTCTTCAAGCAGTTAAACAAAAATCAACAGGCATGGCAGGAATTTCCTGTCTCATTCAAAGTCGATGCCCTTCCTACTATGCATATGTAGGCTTAGATAAGTAATACAATACACATTCAGTACAGCACAGTCGACTTTGGCTTAAAAAACTACGGTATGACAGTCGACAGAAGACGGGAAATGCAATTTACTACCTCTAAAATCTTACAACTACTGTATATTACCAATGCAAGGCTGGTATACTTATATCATATTGAAATATTCCACTAACTCACGGTCTATTATATGATTTGATGATGATGTACAAAGCGAATTATTTTTTGTGTCACAAAATGAACAGGATATTAGGCCGTGCCAAGACATGACCAGACTGTGGCATCATCTGGGCGTCAGATGCACTGTTATTTTCATTGGAATATTGATTTAGTCCACTGTTTCTTTGGATCTTTGGACTCATGTTTGTGACCAAGCAGCAGTGCCTGCTTTTTCACAAACATGCGACTATGGCGATCTTGAAGACAGAATGTTGGTGGATGCAATTATTCTAAGAGACATACATGCTAGAGTAAAAGAAAAATGTATGAGCAAAGGAGACAATTTTCTGCAGAAGGTGTGCCACAACACATGGACCAAAAGCAATGGCTGTCACACACTAAAGCTGGCAAAGGCAAGCATCCCAAAAAAGCAAATGCAATTGTTGAAGCAAACTCAGAATCTGAGGATGATGATTTTATTTTAAACACAATCAAGTGTAATAATGTCTCAAATTCCTCAAATAAAATACACATAGCTAATTAGGGCATTATAACGCCCTAATTAGGGCATTATAATGTCCTATTACGGCATTATAACGCTTAATTAGGGCGTTATAACTCCCTATTTTCGATATTATCATCATGTATTTTTCATGCACATGCACGTGTGCGAAACAGCGATTGTACAGCTCTCCATACAATGTTTTGTAGTTTATTATGTAAAAAAGTTTTTCCCTACAAGTTTCTTTCTGAAATGTTGGCAATAGTATAATACATATAGTATAGGCCTGGGCCTTACACAACAAGTCTGATAGCATACCTGCTCTGGCATGGCAGAGTGCCTGGCATTTGTAATAGGCGCGTAGCCACACATACCAAACATTTTGGTATGTGTACGTTTTTGATGGTTTTTTTCTCAATTTTAGATGTCAGATGAAGATTCAAAGAAGCATGAGCATCCCTCAACCCTTTTGACAAAACTTAGGAAGGGAAAGAGGAAATTGAAATCTACATTTTCCACGGCCAGGAAATGCAAATGCCCATAAGTATAGAAAAATTCAAATAGGCCTGAAAGTAAATGGCCGACACATAAGGAAAGAAGCAACTGGTGGGGGTAGAAGAGAAGCCAGGATGGACAAAAATGCGGATAAAAAAGACATCATTTCGAAGGCCAAGGGGTACTTTTTTCCACCAGGTAATAAATTTAGGACTTTAGATGAATACAATTTTGATCTTGAAAATTTTGTAGAAAGAAAAATGGGGGACAATGATACCATAGCAAAGCTTTACGAGTCAACAGGCCTCCCTCTGTTGAGGTTTTACCTAACTGCTACTTCCAAATGCTGTATTGAAGAAGATGCACCCACAACCAGTAAGCCTAAGTCAGGGATTGAGACAGAAATTGAAATAGATGACGATTTGCCCGCCATAGATTTCACAGAAAGTGGCTCCTACTCTTCAGTTGCTAGTAGCACAACAGCAGAAGACCTTACGTAAAACATCACACTCGTATCATGACACGTCTGTTCACAGTTCAGCTGATGCACCTTTAAACCTTTAAACTGGATGGTGTAGATTCTCTACCCATTAGAACTGTCCGGAACAGTTGAGGTTGTTGAAGTTACTGCATCAGATGGGTACTATACCTCTTCAAGTGACTTGGATCTGCCCATAATTAATGATATTGCAAACTATGAGCATGACAGTGGAGATCCTCTGGTGCTCATTGAAGAAAATTCTTCAAAAAACAACATAAAAATTAAACTTCATAGGGGTCAAGTTCAGAAAGAACTTACAGATTTTTTCATTACAGCTGACCTTACCTGCCCGGTTGAAGTTGAAATGGTGATGCCTAATGGCCAAACTGAAGTAGGGGAAGATTTTGGAGGTGTTTTGAGAGATGCGTTGAGCGAATTTTGGGAGGATTTTTACAACCTTAATACTGTGGGAGCCAAAGTCCTGGTGATGGGATACACACAAGAGGAATTCTTTCCTTATAAACTTGCATTACCATTCCTCAAATATGTGATGGATGGTGATGATGCAGTAATAAACCATAACCATCCATCCCTAATTCCTACATTCTTGGAATTTCTGAAAGTGAAAAGATAGTGATGGAGACTGCAATGAAACACTTTGAAAGTGTTGATGAAGATGACCTGCGCCATGCCGTGGTGCGCCCTCAGGTGGCGGCTGCTCTCTCTCTTTGCAGCATGGCTGTTCATGTCGGTTCTGCGTGAATGTCCCGTAAATAAATTCCTTCTATAGTTCAATCGTGTCCGTCGTTGGTTTTCGGTGTGATGAAGTGAAGCGATGTGTCACAAAAAAGAATATCAAAGACATCCTGCAGGATGCTGCCCATAGGACTCTCATACAAGCACCCGCACCTGCACTCCAAACCATACATGGTAAACTGAAATTTAAGTCTATCAGTAACCAAAAGATGCAACTCATAAATCGTTCAAAAACTACTTGTGAAATTTAGCCTCTGATTCTTTTAGAGATATCTAGGCATACATATAGACAACTATGATTTGATTCAGACAAATTTATTTACAATCACATTTCATCATTTTCATGAACAGCTATCAGTCTCCATTTTTAATTTTGTTTCTGAAGTAGTGTATGATTTTTGCCTTCGTAATGTGCATTAAGCCATTAGAAATGCAAACTTGAGCTAATTTTGTTTTAAGCATTGATTTTTTTTTATTTCATGAAAAGGATAAAAAAAACCCAGTTTTATACCAAAAAAGATTGTTGTTGCCTGTGAAAATGATTATTTTATTTACTGAATGAAGATGAAAGGCTTTTTACCATTTAGTTACTAAAATGAATAATTGAAGGAAAGGTATCGCTTAAATGATAATAAGGTGTTATTGTTCTACCTTAAGCAGATACAAATTTGTTTTATTTTTGATGTTGATTGTATTGCAAAAGGAAAAAGTTAACATTAAATATTGTTTCCAAGTATACTTTTGTTTTCTCATTCATTGAGAAAATAATAATAATAATAATGTGCAAATAGAAATGTATTTCTTTTCTTGGGAACAGGTTCACCAGATTACAGATAACAATTAAATTGATAACCCAGTCTGAGCACTATACATCTGGAGATAAATTAAGACGTGGAGGATGAGGTAACGGCAGTGCTGCGAGAGGCGTATAACAGCCACCAACGCCTCCACAGAGCGGTCGCAGCGTCTAGAAGTCGTGAGAGCCGAGAGCGGGCGGTTTGGGTACTGTGCCTTGCCCTCGACAATCTGCGGTGCCTGGCCGAGCTCTCAGGCAATCTGCTCTAGCCGCCGGATCGCCTGTGAGTACTGCAGCAGTAAGAAAAAAGAAAAAAAAAGTTCCTGTTTTTTCGCCATTTCTAATAGCTGTTGTTGTTCTAGAGTTCATGTTTTTATTGTTCTTTGGAGTCCGAAATTATGGGATTCACCACAACCCCATTTTTTTATCGGTTCTTGGTATTTTCTCTTTCACCTACAAAAAAAATCCAAAAAAACAACTGTGATGAGCAAGCCAGTAGAATCCGGGAGAAGGCATTCTAAAAAAATAAAAGTGGGACGAGTGATGTGCCGCTGCCCCGGTGATTGGTTTTGAATGACGTCATTTATACGTCGCAGACAATCACCGGGGGAAACCCCGCACAGAGTGCGGAGGAGAAGAAACTTCAGAGAGACAGACGAAAAACGGAAAGAGATACCTATACTATTGCTACATACATACCTACCACTAGCAAGTGAATTCCACCAGCGAGTGAATGGTAAGTATGTCCACTTTGTCCTATATAGTATCTCGAGTAGTATAAGAATCTATAGAGACCTAGCAAATTTCTACAACCCACTATACACATTGTTATGCTTTTATTCTGTTCTGAATTGGAAAAAAATTTGCCATGATCACAAATGAACGATAAATTAAGATGTCAAATTTAATGTTTTTTTCACCAACAATTGTGGACAATAAAAAACTGTTAATGTAAGATATATTGTTCTAATATTTCCAGGTAAACTCATTTTTAATCACAAAACCAACAAATAGGGCCTAGCGTACTCAAATTTACCATGAAACTAAAATTTTATACACAAAATGACATGTTCAGTAAAAACTGTTTTCACATGTAAACTTTGGTGTCCTCCAAAAAAGGTTTTACTAGAGTAATTATTGATCAAATTAACCACTCCCATACCTTTACAATTGTACACATTTAAGGAAACAAAAGACTTCTCTTGCATTGTTCATAACAAATCTTTTGATTCTGAGTGAAACTACTACAGGCTTGATTAAAATTACATTTATTAACAAGATGAAGCCATGGAATTGTTATTATTATTATTAAATGATCCACGCACCCGTGATCCATGTACTTGCAGGCATAATTTATGTACACATGTAATTGTAAATTAAATTTTTAAAAATAATTTATTTGTGGCTATTTTACATGATAAGGGAATAATATATTGTAATAATATCTTATCATTCTCATTTTGTTTTCATAGGCCTAAAGGTAATTGAATGGAAATTCGCCTGCAATATTTACCATTTGAACAAAATCCAATGACATGTTTTCAATTCCCGTCTATTTTAAGGCCTGGTTTGGTGGATACATCTTGTGAGGAATGTAACGCCAACCGAGCACAACACGAAGACAGTTGAGAAATATTGTTATGAACCTTTACCCAAGAAATTGAGGGCAAAATGGTACGCTGCAAGGAAGAATGCTGTGTAAGTAATGCCCTAGACTAAACATCCAAAGCCCCGGTAGGGGTCCAGGGGGCGAGGCCCCCGGAGGCTTTGAGGTTTGCAGCATTTCAGAGTCCTGTAAAGGGCTTAAATTGTTTAGCATTGTAATACTGTAAGTACTGTACAAAAATAGTGAAGAATAGCCCCTATGGATGGCAACCAAATGCAAATCTCCAGTGGGTTCCAAGAGCAACATCATGTTGGCGCAAGGGGATCCTGCAAAGCTCTGGAAGCTCTAAGATTTATAGCTTTTCAGAGACATGTAGTGGGCTGAAATTATGATCAGATTTGCCATTGCAAATAGGTTCCCGAAAATTTAAACGTATGGGACCTTCTACAATTGTGAGGCTCTTTTCCCTTTGCGCAAAGCTCTTTTAGCATGGGGTCCAGGAACCCTCTTAAAGGGCCCTGGTGGGGTCCAGGGGAAAATCCTCCGGAAGCTCTGAGGTTTGCAGCATTTCAGAGGGCTTTAATAATAGACTAGAAAAAAAATCAAAAAAGAGGCCTATAAATCAAGTTAGGGGGAGTGGAATGTTAGAAGCAGTCAACATAGCCAGATATCCTAATTAACCCGTCCTGGTCACCCTAAGGCCTGTTGACACTTGATTTTTCACTTTGTATGCATTTTGAAAAATGGCCGCCAAATTTATCTAAAATGTACATATAATTGGAACTACATGATGAAATTCTCCCCCTTAGAAGAAACGGTCACTGGTGGGTTGGATGATTGATTGCTAATTGCCTGCATGCTGCCTAAACAGCCTTCACAATGAGTAAACAAGACCTTGGTAGTAGGAAAAAATCGGACACAGTTCAGCCAGTACTGCTCCAATCATGGTCAAATTTCAGGAGTATGGTCGTAGCTCAAAATGTATGGAACGCCAGTAGCGCTATACCGATTGATTGGGATATGGTACGGTATAGTGTTGGTCAATAGCGTTCATCGTAATAAAGAGAAATCAATTTATAATTATGGGATAATTATACATTGGAACTTTTATTTTATATTTCTTATTTTTTTTAATTTCTTATTTTTTTATAAAATGATAAAGATATAAAACAGGTGAAAGTCAATCAAGTTATTAATTACAAAAAACCAAAGAAAGAAATCGTATAAAGGGTCTATACATCTGTTTTAAAATACTTTAAATTCATTTATTTATTCTGTACTGTAGGCCTATTGTAGATACCTTTTTTTTTTTAAATACATGGTACTTAGTTGCTAATTTCAAATAAAATTTAATATATGTGTGTGTATGTATATATAACATCTAAATATAACATTAATTTTTTTTTTCAGGTATCTTGATGGTACTTTCAAGTTGATAAAAGACCCGTTCTACATACACAGTTTTATAAGGTCGGGAACTTCGCTGAAGCAGGTACCGTTGTTGTTCACTGTGATGTCGGGTAAGAGGAGTGAGGACTATAATATTGCTGTGTTGTGTTCTGTAATACGGATGTTGCCAGCTATCAATCTGCTGAAGGTTGTTTCTGACTACGAGGCTAATATGTGATTAAGACGTGCATCATTTGTATTACCTTACCTTGTGATTTTTTGTTGATTTAACAAAATTAAATTCATTTTTTGAAATTAAATATCTTCTCATTAATTAATATTAATTTAAACAGAAACCATTACAGACTGTTACATCATGTATGAAATTGCATCCTGTATAAATATGCATAAATATGTAATCAACCTTTTTGGTTATATTGTATTTTAACTTTTTTTTTTATAGACAACATCCACTTCTACCTGCTCTCCAACTTCTTATACGAGGAGAGTCAGACAGTCGCCATAAATGCTGAATTGGTGTATGCTCATGGAACACGCACTGCAAAATCCTTATTGCTTGCTTCTAGCCGAGTTATAAGCCGAAATGCTCGGATATAATATGTATGGAATCCATTGGTGCAACAAAACTCAAATAAAACTATAGTAAAACATTAATTAAATGTTGAGATAAGAAGGAAACTATTTGTATGTATGTATTATTTATTGTTGGCTACTGTTAAAACAGTACTATAATTAAATGTTAAGATAAAAACAACAAAATGCTGACTGAAGCTTTGGAGGAACTAAGCATTTCCCCAGAAAGCAGACTGGTGTACATATCTGGTCAAACTTCCATAATAAACTAATGGGTCGTAGTTGGACTGACCCCTTCTAATAAATCAACCAAGAGTGTGTTTGTGGGATTTTGTTCTATTTGATATTTTTTTTTAAAGAAAAAGTTACCGTATTGTCAAGGCGTTTTAGTAGAGTGATGGGTACAGTAGTAAGAAGGGCTCGGGCCCCGTGGCCCCTCAAGGACCCATTTGAACTGGGACTTGGCCCATAAAGCTCAATAGTAAAATGCTAGTTAGTAGCAAGAGAACCCTCCCCTACTCCACCCCGAGAGCTCACGAACATTAGTCAACTGGGTCCTGTATATTTTTTAATAGTATGCCATAATCAGATTTACAGGACAATATATGAAAAACTACACAGTTTCTGATATGTATATACCAGAAAGCATAACTCATCATTGGCAGAGCTTTCAAATGATACCAAACACGACAACTTTTGGTAAGTTCGATTTTTTGACCATTAACCTTTTGTGTCATGTGACTTTATATATTGGTCTATATCGCTGTAAATATGCATCATGTTGTTTAGGTGTAGTGACAACAAATGATCAGTGTATAATTCCCTTTCCATTGACACCAATCATGACCATGTTTTATGTGGTGCGTCAGCCATCTTAAAATTCAAAATGGCAGTCTATGACGGGAAAAAAGTGGCGCCTAACTTTTTTGAATTCAGCAATTGTTTGTCATATTTTATTCAATCTGTTAGTTGAATCTCTTAAACGATTTGTCACTTATTATTATATTTTATATATTTGTATTATAAAATAAAACCATTACTCATGTCAATTATTCATAGATTCATCTATGAAAAATAGAATAGAAAAGGAAAAATTGCCTAGTGCCAGTTTGCCGGGCGATGGGCCTGGCACACCTGGATATGCACCTAAAAAGAAAACATGGATTTGCCGTAAGTTACCTTACAAATGATACGCAGCAAAATACAATGTTAAAATGACCATCATCATTAAAAGTCCTATTTTAATACCCGATTGTTAGGCCTACTTAGTAACATAAAAAATTCAGGTCCCAAAACCTTGACTCAGAATTACCGGGATGGTCTCCGGCGGGGAATAGTTTCACCTGTGTATATGATTATAATACGCTACAACCAACTATACGAATTTGTCTCGGTTCTTTTTGTTATTGATTGTCTTAAGTGAGTATAGTATGATACAACTGAGTAGGCCCATATCGGCCGCTACCTATAGCGGCCACCCTCCAGAACGGCCGCCAACGCGTGTATATGTATGGAACGACGTCTTTGTATGCTGCCAATTCAGGAATGTCATCCGAGACAAGGAAAGAATGTCAACTGCTGAAAATAGCCGACTGGCTTGATCTCTGTACATGGAAACTGTGCGAACATGTGCGATAGTTCAGGAATGTGGTTGTTACCCGAGTTGTTTGCCTATACAAACCCTATAATGTAGGGTCTGTGGACCCTATAATGTAGGGTCTGTGGCCATGGCCTATACGACGCGTTGTTTTCTTGTCTATTAATTATTTTACATAATCTTAAGACTGTACAGACATTGATTATGATCATAACCTCTGGTGTGTTATAACCGTATTATTGCTCGTTAAACCGGGTTGAACTTTTAATCTGTTGGTGAATTCGCATTAGGTTATTCATCAATCGGCAGACAGTACTGCACACTCATTATGCACGAATGGGCATGTTTTGCCCTGTCTAATACAAGAGTAAAACCCACGGAAACGTATATTTCTATTGTTATCTTCTCTATGAAGGGCGTTTACAGTTAAGTTCTGGATTTTAGGGCGATGTATTTCATGTTTTTTCGTGCTTCAAATCAATCATTCAATCATTTAAGAACGTATAGGCCTAGAAACATAAAGCATCAAATGCTGTAAACTTTAATAATATTATGAAAAATATAATAAAAATCCACTTTTTTTTCCTAAAATAATACACAGAATCAATGAAAAAAAGCAATACCGGTCGGCAAACTGTCAGCGTCGGCCGGAAATTTGAGTGCCGGACGGGGCATAAATAATGTGACTTTTTGTGGCGTTTATATACTTTCTGCTTTAAAATCAATCAATCATTTAAGAACGTATATATATATATTAATATATTAATATTATTAACATTCTTCTTCTTTCTCTTCTTCAATATATGCATGCATATTACACTGTAATATGAAAATAATAAAATCCGTTGGTTTGATTATCAACATATAAATTTGTTTGTTTCAAATAGATAAAACGAAATATATTATGAATCTTAAAACATTATTATTCACTTACACAAACCATTGAATTGCTTAAAATGATTGTTAACATATGATTGCACATATAATGTACATTAAATAGATAAAACGAAATATATGCCATCTAAATAATTAATTATTTTAACTTATACGGGACTTACACAAAACCTAATAAAATCCACTGTTGTTTTGGCAAACTAATAGCAGCATAGTAATGCCACATTAATATTTGGCAACATAAAAAGACCTAACAATAAAACACGAAATAATGGATACTAAGTCTAGCAGCAATAGCTTTGCGCCTACTTGGTGTTCCATACAAATATATCTCGGCCGAACTTGTTCACGGCCGAACCAGCCCTACACCATTCTAAACCGACTTGACCTAGGCCTATGCCAAACCTACTTGACCCAGGCCTATTCCAAATCATTTAACTACAATGTACTGCATTGTGAATGCGTCATCGGTGTTCCATACATATACACGGCTGAGGCTATCGGCACTGCCGCAGTGCCAAAAAGCTGCTGTTCTCTATCGGCACTGCCACAGTGCGAAAAAAGCTTTTATTTTCTATCGGTATTATTGCCGCAGTGCGAAAAAAGCTCCAATTTTCTATTGGCACTGCCGCAGTGCCAAAACACTGCAGTTTTCTATCGGCACTGCCACTCGTATAGCTGCTGTTTAATTATCAAATGGATGTTTTTATCTATAGATTATGGTATCAATAATTGGTTAGGTCTAGCCTATCCTATAATATTGTTAACATCATAATATATATGTTTTACAATTAAATTATAATTATTTCTAATTATTATAGCCTATATTATAGCCTATATCTAGGCCCATACATAAAACAAAAAATAAAACAAAAATTTAAAAATAAAATAATAGTAGTAATAATAATAATAATAATAATAATATAATAACAGTGCTCGAAATGAATAAAAATTGTTCAATTAATGAGATGAATCAGCATATATTAAATCAATAATAATAATAATAATAATATAATAATAATAATGTATAATATATTATTATATATATTATATATAATAATAATTAACAATTAACTGACTAATTAATTAACTATCATTATCACCGCGTAACTAACAACCTCATCATATTCATTATTTTTTTTTCAATAGCATTGTCGTCATTCAGTATTATCAGCCTACTAAATGCGAGAATAATGTGTTACAATGCGTTTACATACTGCAACAATCAAGGGACAAATATATACCCTTGATTGTACATATTTACCTCATTCTACAATATTTTATAAATTAGGTAAAGTTATAAATGATGACTGGTGGCGATGTATCAGGGGCGGATCCAGAAATGTCCAAAAGGGGGGGCCGGAAGGGGGGGCCAAAAGTTGGGCCGATTGAGACAACACTGTCGTAGGGGGTCCGGGGCATGCCCCCGCAAAATTTTTGTGTTCTAGACGCCCGAACATAACATTTGAGGCATTCTGGGCTATCATTTTTTTCTTTTTCTCTCTTTTTTTCTTTTTTCCCCCTTTTTTTACCTCCCAAAAGGGGGGACGGGGCCGGGCCGGGCCCCCCCTAAATCCGCCCCTGTGCATGTACGTGTGGTACGCTGACATTTCCGTTAGCATTAAGTGGAATAACAAAGTGGAACATTAAGTGGAATAAAATTTGCTATCCGTAAAGGCACAAGGCAAGGTGGCCTATCATCGCCATTTATCTTTAATGTTTCTTACAAAGGTCTTGTTACAGGTCTCCAAAATATGGATTGTGGTATCATTGTCGCCAAAGCTAAGTTTAATGTATTCTGCTATAATTAACTAGCTTTATGCCAATGATTACATTGTATTCTCATGGTCTTAAAACGTCATATACTGTACAATCTTTGGGAAACAAACAAATACAAGTCATCACTAATATATTAACAACTTGTAACAAGTTGTAACCAGGTTTGGATGAGTATGAAAGCAAATCCTTGTAAAACTTTCCGAGATTTCACAGGGGTCCCCTGAGTTATCTCGGAACAGACCATTGCGTGGCCTGTTTTTTTCCCGAAATCTTCCGAGTTGTTGTTGCGCATGCGTCATGTCCATATTTGGACCTTTTTGTGGGCTGTGTTTTTTTTTTGTTTAGTTCGAACTAATGGCGGCAGTGATGGAAAACGTATCACATTACTACCATTTGTTAATAATAGGCCTAGACCTAAAATCAAAAGAAATCTCGCTAAATTTCACATGTCTGATGTAGAAACAATCATGAGGCTTCGTAAAATACACCGACAGCGAATCATTATGCTTGTCGCACTGATTGCCTCTAAAAACAATGGTGAGCTACCGGCCGGCGGCCCGACTGCGCCTAGCTAGCCTAGGCCTATCTTTCTCACCAGCTCGACTACAGCAAGCGAGCTAGGAGTTGAATTCGTTTAACTCTCCGAAGGCTAAGGACCAAGGAATAATTATAATCTTGTTAATTCAGTACCAGGCCTAGTTTAGTAGTTGATATGTAATTCGGACAACCTACAACTAGCCTAGGCCTAGTCATTATTCTTCCAAAAATCTCGGAATATCAAACTTGTTACAACTTGTTAATAATTGTTAAAAGTTGTAATATTTTCTGCTAGTGTGAAATGGGTACACTGACAAACGTATGCGTATATGTCAAAAAGCGTTATTTTCGCTACAAAGTGCAGGTATGTGCAAACATGGATCGTGTATCGAAGTTAAGCTTTATGTATAGAACAATATTTTAGTTCCAATTCTTGTGTATGGCTCTTAATGTATAAATTCACCGAACTTTGTATCCCTGGATAAAATGCAAAGCAAATTATTCAAGACAGCATTGGGTATCCCTAAGTATTGTAGATCAATACCATTGCTGCATGCTCTAAATCTACCTAAAATCAAAGATATTTTGTCTAATCGAATTGATCTCTTGTCACAACTGCTTGTTAATGATTCTGACACTAGGGTATTTTATTGCCATCTTCTTAATTGAGAAGCAAAAAATAATATGTTGTATAGAAGTACTCTCAATGACAGAATCAAGGGTAATATCGATAGAATATTTATTCAATAATTGAAATACATTCTATTAAGTTTATACACATTTAATAAAATCCACAAAATAATTTAAAATACAACATGTTGCAATTTGTTTAAATTTACAAAAAATTCACAAAAAGTGCCCAAAGAGTGTGATTATAGAAAAACTGTATGCACACTATTGTGGAGAGCAACAGTGAAAGTGAGAATTTTAATTCATAAAAACGCATTGTAACGTAGGTTTCATAAATAATTTGTAAATGTTGGTGACAAAAATAAAAGTTGAAAAGATTACGTGTTGATATTTTTCTGAATCATTATTAAAATTGTCACAATTAATTTTTTGAAATATTAAGACAATTTTGATTTGATTTTTTTTTTTCAAATTTTTGAAATGTGAATTGGCAGTTTTTAGTGGCTTTGACCCAGATGCAAGTTTATATTTTAATTGTCATATTGTGATACTACTGGACCTCGATTTAGTATAGTTTAAATGAGTTATATACTTATGTTTAATTTAGCAGATGGCGAAGAGATATCTGGATATACCTATATGATGAACTGCAGCATTAAGTTTAAATGTTAACATGCTGAGATTGATCCAAGTTATTATGATTTAACTAACTTTATAAATAAAGTACTCAGCTTCCTTTTATGAATATTTTATGATTTAGTGTAGATACGGTAATAATTGTTTCAACAATTGTGTACTGCGTATGTACCTATGGATTTGGCCGTTACGCTTGACGGAGCATGGCCAGGGTATAATTGTCAAGGACAATAATTCCTTAGCAACTGTGGAGGAATTTGCTTTACTGTAAACCGGAATGTTCTTCCTTAATTTTAATGATTAAATATCATGGCTGAGAGT